TCCGCTCACAGCAACAGCCCCTCTCTCCAAACCCCTGTAGCACCCCCTCTATCTCACTGTAAATCAAATACCTATTCGGATCGGAGGTACACATGCGTGCCCGAAAGCGTATATCAGGAAATTAATGAGACCTTAATGGAAGTAATTTTAATGACGTTTAATTTTTACGTCCCGATAGTGATTACATGAATTTTTAATGCGCGAAAGCAATAAAATCTCAGCTAACTGTACTCACTTTAATGATGTATCGAGTATTGAAGATGCCGCACTACAAATTGGCTTTGTCGAAATATTCATTTGTCATTTGGAAACATGCGATGTTACATTTCCATTATCTATGTGTAATTAGACTAAAATTAGGATAGGTAGTAATTTATTATTATAGTTAAGTTGATATACCTGTTTGCGTGTATAGGTAAAGTGGTGATTGAATTAGTTGAGATTGTGGCGAAGTCGAAGTTACAGCGCAGATATCCAGTATAAGCTCCCCATTACACCGCTAAATTACTAAATAGCGTGAGTAAGCCTCGCCCGGCTGCGCAGCCGCATTCTGCAAGCTTAATGCTCGTATTAGCAGATAAACCGTTCATTTGCGTGAAAAATATACTAAATCAGCATAACAAACATTTAGGTACAGTATGTGAACTAAGTCAACGAGCCACTGGTTCTTTCTTCTGATTAGGTTCTAAATCTGAAGATATAGTTCTTTGTTAATAACGTTGTTGTAGAACCTTGATAAATAGTGCAGCAGGTTCAATTAAAAGCGATATCCACACCGCAGCATGTTGTTAATTTTGCGCTCAGCTTTGTCACAGTTTCAATTAATTACCAAAGATAATATCATTGTGAGCAAACGAGTTCATTAATGGGACTAAAAGGATTTAAATTTACAAACGTACTTAATAAAGAAAGCAAAAAAGAAGCCGGCGTTTCGTACCGATAAGCATCGAAACAAAACATCGAAGTGGAAGGTGATGAAGACATGTGCTGCACTAAAACAAGAATCGGCGTGACAGTAAATTACAAACGACGCGTGAACACGTCGTCGCCGGGCGAGGCAAAAAGTGGACGAGTGTGACCCAAGGATTAACTGGGCTGCGACGCTCTCGTCGCACACGCCACAAGACGCACGGCGCTCTTCTGCTCCATAAACATTTTCTAGTAGACTTTCGTAAATTACACACGGTTTATAAATGCGTAAATTATTGTTTGTTATTGGCTCCATAACAGTTTCCGGCATTCCCTACTCTCCATAAAGACCGTTTAAAAATAATAATTCTTAATACCTCCGGCCGTGTTTATCTCGTTTTCGGTAATAGAATACCTGGAATATTTTATCAACGCACGACCGAGTAATTTAATATAAAGCGTATCATTAAATGATCTCTTGGTCGCGATGACTATCGCGAGGTTAATAACGGTGTTGGAGGTTCCTCTACGCGAGACACGCGTCTGCGATACTATCGCCTCCGAAGCGTTATTGATGAGAACTGGCTATAACCAAATAGCCCGGGGATCACGTTTGTTTACTTATCTGACGTTTGTTAAAATGTACCATTTTGTGGCTAATTGAAACTTAGCGGCGGCCGTTGAACCGTGTTTATGACAGGTGCAGCTCGGAATGGCGTTTTCGTGAGATTGCACCGCGATTGTCAACTACCGCTCCGCGATAAGGACTCGCCTGTTTCGTGCTCTGAGCTCACTATGTCTAATTGTCGAACAGAAGCCGGCTGCCCCTTAACGACCACTTAAATGACCAAGTTGTTTGTGGAAGAAACTGTATAAATGACATTTAAATGTTGCGGAGATTGCTTCATTCATTCTGTCGAGCTCATTGAGTAACTTATTCAGAAACGCGTGTAAATTGCGAACAATGTCGAGTCTGTACGTAAACTATTTCTACGACACTTACTATTGGCATTAGAATTCACTGTTATTGGGTATGGAAATGGCGTGTTGTTACAGTTTTATCGTGTCCTACAAAAGACATCAACGCGTGATTTCAGAGCAAAAAAAATTTCAAATCCCTGAGATCTCTTTGCCTTTTACTTACAAAACTCATTGATTTTTTTTATCATATCACTAAAGTTTTATGCTTTTTACAAAGTTTTTATTTCCAAAGAACGTACATAAACAAACAATTACGTGCACAATTTACGTCATAGGTCAACAGTGATTGTGATCAATCTTTTAGCGTTAAAAGCATTCAAGCTGGCATCTTTGAGGCAGTAGCGAGTGACAGCGTGACATTAAACGTTCACTTCAGCATCAGCTTAGCAGATCGGACCTTGACATTTGCACAGCGCGTGCGCACCGCAGCCGTTGACCCGTCTCCTGCGCACGCCCCAGCTTCACACGTGGAACATTCTCTTTTCTCACTCAATGATAGTTCATTTTTAGCAGGTTTAGGTGAAGAATTGCTTATCGACTTCTTAGGTTTTCGCGATTGTTACACATAGGAAATGAAACTATTTTTCCGGATTTAAGTCGCGTATATTTGTTTTTTCAAACAAACCGACGTTTCGGGCCCTTTACAGGTCCCATGGTCACGGTTGACTGAGGTGGTACAGTCTTCAACCAGTTATGTCTAATATTGATGCAAACCACCCCATTTTTTGTGACCATGGGACCTGTAAAGGGCCCGAAATGTCAGTTTGTTTGAAAAAACAAATATACGCGATTTAAATCCGGAAAAATAGCTTCATTTCCTATGAAGAATTTTTTACTAAAAATATTTATTACATAGATTTTTGGAAGAAATCAACGAGAACTTCAGTTTAATAGTTATACTTGCAATTTCATGTTAAATTAATATTTCCAATCTTCATTGTAATTGATTTGTCGATGTCGTTCAATTAAATTCAAAAACAGCCTTTTAAAGCGGGTAAATTTAAAAGGCTGCCGCTGCACACCGTTTTATCATAGCTATAGTTTAAAAAGTATGTAGCTATCAAATCTTGTCCACATTGATTTTAGACTACATTCTAAAATGTTGACGTGTGTACGCAGCTGAAGCGGAGGTTTATACAATGCACCATTATTTCTGTACAATAACGGCTGAATCACGACGTAGATTTTGCCGTGAATGACATCGAGAGCGGTCGAAGCGCCTCGCGATTAGATTTAACAATGAGTCTACACATTTTGACGCAAATGATTAACTTAATCGCATAAGTTAAACGTATACATTGAGAAATTAACGGTAAACCCACTTAAACGGTTTATCGGTTTTTGTTTTCAATGTCGTACGAAATTATTTCTTATGTCTACAAACTGTAAACCCTAGTACGTGCATTAATTCTGTGGACAAGATAAATTGCTATGGTATGCAACGTTATCTGAGGCGGAAAATAAAAGTTTGTATTTTATTTTATTAAAAATATATAACACATAAGTACGGCGCTGGAATGCTAATAATATGTCAACGAAATATATTGGACATTATAGAGATGCAAATGCGGATAACTACTACGATTAAATTCGATATGTTGTTGCTTCGCAGCGCGTCAAGCATTCAACGTCGAGAGACAGCATCGATTTTATTTTTATTATTTTTATCGAGGGATCGATTCTAAAGATAAGTTTATCGTAAGACAAGTAGCGGCCACCCAGCCGCGTGATATCAGCTCCATCGCGCTAGTGTCGCCCCGCCCGTTTGCCCCGCGATACCCGCCATCGCCCTCCACACGGATATGCTTGCATTTTATTGCATCTGATATCGACTAATTCGCGTATACGTCAAATAATTAAAACTGTTCACAACACTTCAACATAGGTACGGTAAAACTAACACTTCTTTTTAATCAATATGTGAGTAGTGCATGCGATAAAGAACGGGAGAAAATGCATTATTTCTATTTCGTTTGTCATATTAAGTTTATGTACAGCGCCCATGGCACTCTGAACATCCGAAGGTATTACAAATATCATTTCAATAATATACCCTAAAGGCTGTTCAAAATAACGTACAAAGATTTAACTCCATTTCAAATAAAATAGTATATTATGAATAAGAAGCTTATGTCATCTTTGTATAGCATATGTACATATTGTAAGTTTTAATATAGGTATTTTTGAATTTTCGTAGGTATATTAGAAACTCCACAAAATCGAAAGCATTGTTTCTAAATTTATATATAAGTAATATCCGGGTTGAAATCTCTGTACAGGCAGTAGCAACGCTTCGCCTCAGGATTATAGTAAATCGAATCACAATAAATTACACCTTACGCACAAAACGTAAATCAGCGCGGACGTAAAATACATTTATATTGTTTTCACTCAGAGATGACAATAAAATTCTTTGGAATCATGACTGATTTAATGCAGTAAATAAATATCACGGAAAAGAGAGTATTTCGAGGCAAAGCATAGATTTTATCGATGACGTAAAGTTTTATAGGTGATTAGAATTTTATGGCTACTGAAATATGTTGTAGTCCTGAGTGAGAGTTCACTTCACATGTGCTCGACGATGGCTCGCTATAAAAGTAAAATCATGTGGATCGAAACGCATTATATTACAAGCAAACATAAATTTGAAAAGGGCCAAGAAAAATTAATTCGATTTGTAAGAAAAGGGTAGTCATATTTTTAACTAGCTGTGTCGAATTTTGCTCGCTACTTGTAAAATCATTAACGTGCTATAAATAGCTATTTTTTAATGAACCGTTTATCTGTGGATTCCGTATAATTTAAACTATACAGTTATGTGCGTAATTTAACGTAAAGTGAAGTGGTGATCGCAATAACATACAATTACTACATACATAGAATAACCTTTCGTATTTGACATATTAAAATAGTGACTACCCTCAATTTACAAGTTAGTAAAATGTCTACTTTAATCAAGTGTGGTGGATGCCTGAAACCTATTGAAGGGAAACAATACCTACGTTGTAACCTCTGTGCACTGAACTATGATCTTTCTTGTGCTAATGTTTCGGAGCAACGGTTCCTGAACACAATGACCCGGGAACATAAAAAAAAATTGGAAATGCATGTTATGCAAAAGTAAACAACCGAAGGGCGATAATAGCAACACTCCTATTCGTGTTGCGAACGATGATGGTGTTACGACGCGCCGGGGAGCGTCTAAGGAGAGCCCCCCGGAGAAGGTGGAGTCCTTACCTGTAAACAATGCTCCTGATAGGTTACTCAACGATGACATCAAAGTACTGATCTCGGAGGTGCGGCAATTCAAGGAGGAGATGAGAGCCACTCGTAAGCAAATGGAGGAGCTAAGTCAAACTATGTCAAGACTTAACGACAGAGTAGACGCTTGTGATGTTCGCATCGACGCGCTGTGTGACCGCGTGAGCAGTTTGGAGAACCGTGTGATGGACGGTGCTGGAGTTGAGCCTATTGATGGTACATTACGTCATACTATCCATCAACTAAAGACCGAGCTGAACGAGCGCGATCAAGAGCTTTTATTGAACGATATTGAAATATCATGTGTGCCGGAACAAAAAGGTACGGGCTTAACGCATGTGGTGCTCACGCTTGCAAATAAGTTGGGGGTCCCGTTAATGGAGCAAGACATAGTCAGCGCTGTGCGAGTGGGTCGCCCGCCGGGGCCAGAAGAGCTCGTTTCGCCCGGCGCAACTTCGACCCGCCCGCGCCCCATCGTCGTACGATTGACGCGACGCGCACTGCGCGACCAGCTCTTGCAGGCGGCGCGCACTCGTCGGGGCGCTACCACCGAGGGTACGGGTCTGTCTGATGCGCCGCGTCGCTTTTATATAAATGAGAGGCTGACGCGTACTAACCGCCAGTTGTTCAGAAAAGCGCGCGACTGTGGCCGTCGTCTCAATTGGAGATTTGTCTGGACTAAGGACGGTAGAGCCTATGCGCGTCAACATGCAGGTAAAGATGCTCCGCGGCATCGCCTTCAATCGGAAGAGGATCTGATTCGTGTTTTTGGTAAGGACGTCGTTAGTTCTCTTGAGGTTTAGATTATATGCACATGACTTTTATTGCTTTAGGAATATTTTCTTATTTACTAAAAATCCAAGCTATGTTACAAATTTCTCTGTTTTGATCACCTTTTTGTGTGTTTTATGCTATGTTACAACTTGTATAATTATTATCGTACAAATTCTACTTAGTAATGCTACGTGTGCACTATACTTGTACTTACATTATATACCTTTCCTTTTTTTGTTAAAATTATTTGTTCAGAAAATTTCGTATGCAACCATGAACAGGAACGAACCGTGGATTTACAATAATAATATACTTATATATTTTTTATTGTGCTTGTACTCGAATTATTTGAAACCGATATTCACTTATCATGGTCTATCATCTATATTATATTTCACATATCATAGTATATCTATTTCATTATGTAGTTTTATACCTATACATATTCAGTATAATGTCTCCTAAGCAACAAAAACATTTGTTCAAAGCCAGCCTGTATAATGCCCAGTCATTGAATACTTGTGGTGACGACTTCATTGTGTCTGTTCTACGATTTGAACCCGATATTTTAACTATAAATGAATCGTGGTTGAGAGAAGGACGTGAAGCTTTGGCGCCTCACTTATCTGGTTACAAATTCAAAATGTACCCACGCACGGCTGATGTTCGTCGTGGACGAGGAGGTGGTTTAGCTTTTTATATCCGAGACGGTGTTATTGCCAGAATCATAAATCACCCGTATTCCTCGGTTGAACAACGATGGTTGCGCGTAAATGTGAACGGTCTGAGATTGGCGGTTGGAACAGCGTATCGGCCGCAGTGGCAGGGTGTAGACGAGTTTCTAGATGCTCTTACAGATACCATCACCGGGCTAACCAATGTAGACAAAATTATACTGTTAGGTGATTTTAATATAGACCAATTAAACGCAGGTAGTTCAAAATATTGTAAATTTTATTCATTTCTGCATTCTACTGGTCTGCGCCAAATAGTCAATGAACCCACACATTTTACTGCCACTAGTGCTACGGTGATAGACTTAGTATGTACGGATGCTGCGGTAAAGGAACTAGAAGTATGTAACGTTTCACATCTAAATGGACATTCTATGGTAAACGTCACATTCAATATTAAAAAGAATAGGTACACTCCGAGACTCGTTACCTTCCGACCTATCAAGGATATACCTCTGGAGGTTTTTAATAGGGAGTTAGCAGTCTGCGATTGGAATCATATTTACTGCCTACAGACTGTGGATGAGACGGTTGAACATTTTAATTATATCATTTTAGAATTATTGAATCGGTTCGCACCACCGAAAACCGTTTATCTTAAGAGGAATGCCGTACCGTGGATTACAAGTAACATTAAATTTATGATAGGCCTAAAGGATGACGCTCTCAAGCGGTATCGTTCGTCTGGTAGAGAATCTCATAAGTCGTTTTATAAAGCTTTAGATAAACAAGTCCGAGAAGCCATGCTTACTGAAAAGCGTATTTATTTTAACAAAACTATAAACGCTAATTGTAAAAACTCGGCAGCACTATGGAAAAACCTCAAAAAAAACGTTTTAGGCGACTCTGCAACGTACAGGTGCTTGCCTCCAACTTTTAACGACCCCGATGAAATACTCAGTCATTTTCTCAATGTGCCTTGTACTGACAGTGTTTCAATTTCTTACATGACTTACTTTGAGTTCCATAGGTTTAGCGAAAATACATTTACACTAAGGACCGTGAATGAAGTGGAGGTTGGAAAAGCCATTCTCTCGATTGAATCAAATGCCCTCGGTGTTGATGGAATCAGTATGGATATGGTGTTACTAACTTTACCTCACAGCTTACCATACATCACTCATTTAATTAACAAATCTATCTTCACGGGAACTTTTCCACTTGCCTGGAAAACTGCTCTAATAACTCCGATTCCAAAAACATCGTCTCCTACAAACGTTACTGACCTTAGACCTATTAGTCTTTTATGTTTTATGTCCAAAATACTGGAGCGTCTGATATACTGGCAGTTAGTCAATTTCCTGGAAAATAATAAAATCCTCCCACCATCTCAGTCAGGTTTTCGTAAAGGCGTGAGTACGACAACTGCCCTGTTAGATGTTGTAGACAATATACTGTCTGCACAGGATGCTGGAGAGGCTACTTTGTTGACTTTATTGGATTTCTCGCGGGCGTTTGATTCAATTAGTATTCCACTTCTTCTGTCGAAACTCTCTTTTTATGGATTTCATCCGAAAACAGTGGCTTGGTTCGACAGCTACCTAAGTAACAGGTCACAACGTGTCCAAATCCAATTGCCAGATGGGTCTCGTGTTTTATCTCAGGAGAGAGCAGTCCATAGAGGAGTTCCCCAGGGCTCAATTCTAGGTCCAATTTTATTTATTTTGTATACAGCTGACATAACAAACGAGATCAAACATTGTAAATACCACCTATATGCGGATGATGTCCAACTGTACATTAATGTTGATACACGTAATGTAACCGCTTCATTAGACAAATTACATTCCGACCTAGATAGTATAGCTCACTGGTCTGCTCGTAACTCCTTAATTCTAAATTCAAATAAATCCAAATTCATGGTATTGGGCTCAAAGGTGCAAATAGAAAAGACCCTTTCTCGAATATCCCGGGTGACCGTTCTTGGGTCGGAGATAGAGAATGTCAATAGGGTCCGGAACCTCGGAATTCTTATGGACAATCGCCTTCGTTTTGAGGACCATATCCTCAATACAGCTAAAAACTGTCTGTTTCGCATTAAGGTATTGTATAAGATTAGGAGGTTTTTGAATGAAGAAGTCCGACTACGCATCTGTGAATCATTGGTGCTCTCTAAATTTAACTATGGTGATGTGGTTATGGGTCCATGTTTATTGTCTACCTCTAAACGAATTATTCAGCGCGTACAGAACGCTTGCGTCAGGTTCTGTTATAACGTTCCTCCCCGTACACATATTACGCCGATACTTAATAAAAAAGGTTTATTAAATATGCAATCGAGAAGGACTTTTCATCTTGCGAGTTTGATACACGAAATCGTCAAGTTCAAGCATCCTAGTTACTTGTACAACAAGTTGCATTGGGCTGCATACACATACAATTCGAGGCGGATAAATAGTTTTATACTTGTCACACCCTTTCATAAAACTAGAGCTTTTGAGGGAAGTTTCCGCTACCAGGCTAGTAAATGCTGGAATAATCTTCCACCCCCACTCAAACTTCCATTGTCAAAGAAAATTTTTAAAAGACATCTTAAAGTTATATTGTTGGACACCCAAAAACAGCCCTGATAGTGGAAGGTACTCACTTGCGCTGTACTTTTAAGTTATGCTTCTTTTGCACTAGACACACAATATCACACCTAATACTGTGAAAATTCTCAATAAAGGTTAGCTATCTTTGTAATTTCTTACTGCACTTATTTATTCTAATATATATTATAATCTATGTTAGTAGTAACATAATTCATTTAATCTCATTTATTTACTTGTGTAGAATTTTAATTTTGGGAATGCGTAAGGATACGACGGAAGAACAGCGCCAGTCTCCTGACTGGCATTAAGCTGAGTCGTGGCCTTTTCATGGTTGCATACAACACATTGTATATATAAGCTTATTATTATTTAATTTTAGGTTTTCACATTTTCCTCCTGTATTTTATTTTGCTTGTTTTTTGTAATTGTGTTTCTATTTTTGGTTATTGTGTTGTATGTACCGATGAATAAATGTTTTTCTATTCTATTCTATTCTATTTTGGGATAAGAACACTAACAATTTTAGCATGTACATATTTTCAAAAAAGAGAGGAGTACAAGTCGTGCGCGTGGTGGTAAGCGATACGCCTCTCATAGCAGTTGCAATGCCATTCAGAGCATCGCAAAAATCTGAGAGGAACTACCACCACTTCCGTGACCCTAAGACATAAGTTGACAAGTCCCATGTGCCTGTAGTTTCACCTTACTCTTCAAAACCGGAACGCAGTAATGCTCACATTACTGTTTGGCGGTAAAAATAGGTGGCAAAACTGCCATGATTGAAATATTTCACAAGCTCCACAACGTCACACTTCTTTACGAGGCAATCTTTAAGCTTCTATAAAAAAAATCACCGTTTATACTTTATTAAGAACTTCATCTTCATCACCAGCCTATCGCAGTCCTCTGTAGGATATAGTACTCTACCATTCCTCAGCTTGTCGCATTCATCTGCTACCTTTCGCAGCATATGCATAGCAGACAATAAATGTACTATTCATTTACTATTTTCAAAAGTATTGTAAAGTGTAAACTTGGCATAAGGTTATCAAAAAAATTGTATTTAAATGGATGCCAAAAACGGAGTGACGTTTGAAAGTACTTTCTACGTAAATATTTAGCACAAAAAATAGTAATAATAATGTAAATATTAGTAACAAGACGTAATAAAAGCAAGGTGCTACAACAATCAAGTCATTTTATAGACACAACAGTGAAATAATTCGAAATAAATGAATCTTGAATGCCTTGTAGAGCAGCAGTCGTAAAGAACCATTATTATACTTTGTAATCTTATTACTGGACATTGTCTCAATCCATGTTCGTTTACTGAGGAGGTGTCTCTCGTACAGGAAGTGTTATTCAAATAAATACATTGCTTATACAGTTACAAATCTTTTGCAGGCTCTACAATAACTACATTGCGCACTCTCGTATTTTAATTTTTATATGGTTTGTTAGTTCAAACAAAAGACATCCACTGCTGGGCATAGGCTTCCTCTAAAGATATTTATAATAATTAAGCACTTTCGATGATTTTCAAAGAATCTGTTTAAAAAATATGAATATGAAATTAAGGCATGTTCCTAATTGCTGTGGCATTTTCAAATAATAATAATTGCCGCAAATACAACAAGCCTTTAAGGTCTTTGTTTACCTTTTCCAAACGCCAATGTACCGCTTTATAAAAGAACTTTTGACTTTAATACTATTTTTTATGCAACGATAACATACTTATTTTACACGTTCTACGCAAACGGA